ATTAATGTCCAGATCATTTTTAAGTTCAGCTGTGATTTTCACCGCACTTATCTTTGGATTTTGCTTTATTTTCCGAATTATCCATCGGCCGGTATACTCATTTATTATTCGTTTACGTCCGTTTCTTGGATTAGTTTTTACAGTTTTTCGATCGCCATATCTGTCAATGATTCCTTGAATCGTGGACCTCGGTCTATTTAAAACTTTAGAGTGTTTTACACTTATTATGTAAATTTATAAGAATTTTCCTTTCTTCTTCAGAGGTTTCCTTGCGTTTTCGTCCCATTTTACTGATAATTTCGTTGATAATGTTTGAATTCAGGATACTACCTATACCGACAGCGTCTCCAGACATACTGATGCTAAGTATGTTTACATATCATGGATTATCTTGTAATCGTTCTATGTGGAATGTTACGAATCAAAGACTGTACGAATACTTATTACGCGTATATTTTAGGTCAATTTCTGGAAATTTGTTAATATTTTCATAATAAATATAAATAAATAATTTGTTGTTAATGACATTTGTTCCAGAGATTTCTAAGAATATGTATGTATGTTTTTGTTAACATACTTTTGTAATAAACAAAGTTCTGCAAAGTTTTTGTTCAAATTGACTAGTGTACGAATACTTTTTACACTAACTGTATATATAAGAGCAATAGTGCAATCAGTTGATGGTATTACCATCAAAGAATACGCTTGAACAGTTGGGAACATAATAGGACCCAAAGCCATAAAATACCTGTCAAGGATTTCCAACGGAAGAATCTGCATGTATCTGGACACTAAAGAAACAGTCAAAAGTCTCACATCGAAACACAAAACTATATTAATCAACAATGCGAATATAGAAGTTCGTTCTATGATATCACCGGCCCAACGAATCATATTATCCTACATAGCACCTATGATCCTAAACTCAGTAATCGACAACATTTTCAAAATGAACAATATTAAAGCATATTCAAGAATAACCCCTTAAATAGTAGGAATCACAGATACAGACCTGCCACACATACTAAGTGTTAGAACACAGATTTATGTAGGTCCAGACGATGCAAAAAACATACCTAGCTCCTTTCAAATCACAGTAGATAACAAATCATACAGAATATTTGCTATTACAGAGAAACAGACATGTTTTAACTGTAATCAAGAGGGACACATTCCCAAACAATGCTCAAATAACGCAAATCCAAACGAAACTAGTTTACAGATCAATTCAAATCCAATGCAAACTCCATCCCATATCAACGGCCACCCCCAAAGAAATAGAAATAAACAACTCAAATACAAGAGAATGCCCAAAACCAGAAACGCAAGAGGACTCCAACACAACCGAACAGAGAGAAGTAGAAAGAATAGATTCGAACGTAAACAAAAGAAGAGTCAAGAGACCGCTGCTCATAACATCAGAAGACAGTGCGATACCAGTCAAATTAAGCGACTCAAATTTCAAGACTCCAGATTTAAAACCAACAAAAGATCTCCATAAATCCCCTAAACAAACCATCAAGAAATCAAAACGGTCCTCATTCCCCGCTTTCACCCTTGACAAAATTGATGATATGCTCAAAACAGCCAAAACGTATATAGAAGACCAAGAATACATGCTAAACTACCTCCAAATTAAAAGTTTTCTAGAAAAATATCAAAAGAATATACGACTAATACTCGAGCCTTGACACAAACGCTAAAAAAAATTCGCCCTCTGCTGAAAGAGCGAAGCCTAAGAAACAGGATAAGCCGACTGCAAAATAAGTTAACTCAAGACCCACAATGAAAACAAAACACAAACTGGTCATCGGAAATAGAAAGTGATTTCTTTTAATATAAATGCAACATATAATACAGCGGAACATAAACGGATTTTACACACACTACGAACAATTACAGCTTTTATTGAAATAGCACAACCCAATGTCATGAAGGTGCTAGCAAGCAATAACTGGGGAGCAGACCAAAAAATTATCCTTAGAACCTACCAAGCCATGATTAGATCTAAAATAGATTACGGCTCAATAGTGTATAATTCCGTAAAACCCAATACATTAAAAATGATCGATACGATCCACCATACAGCTCTGAGAATAGCCACTGGAATTTACAACACCAGCCCAATAAACAGTATATTATTCGATACTAAAGAACCGCCACTTGAACAAAGAAGGAAATTTTTGAATCTTAAATATACAGCCAAAATGTCTTCTACTCCGAATAATCCCACCTACAACTACGTATTCGGAAACAGATACACACCCTTACTAAATAAGAAACCAAAGCTACCAATTACATTCTACCTCAGAATCAACAAATACCGGAACTTAGCTAAAATAATGCCGACACTAATTACACGCAGCGTTGGAAAAATAGAACCCTGGACCATGCAAACCCCCAAAACAAACGCGACTCTTGCGAATGCTCCCATAGACCAAAAAAGTAGCCTAGAACACAGAGTTGTTTTTTTACAACTAGATAAAAAATACCCGAACTATGTAAAGCTATACACCGATGCATCCAAGACCGACCAGAGTGTAGGAATTGCCATTACATGCGACAACATGACCAAAAAACTTCGCCTCTTTAATGTGTTATCCATTTTCTCAGCTGAAGCATACGCAGTCCTTAAAGCATTACGCTACATACAAAGTCAGAATCTCCAACACGCTGTCATTTATACTGGCTCTATAAGCGTAATTAATGCAATAGGAAACACCGGCAATAAGAACAAACGTAATACCATATTGAATATCCAGGAGATACGAGGGCGGTCCGATACGTACTTAGCCTCACCACCCGATGTTCACCACGATGGCAAGAGAAATTTACTATCGTGTAGTACATTCTTGTAGACAGTTACTGTCAAAATTTCAGCCGAATCGGACTCGTAGTTTTGTTTTGACCGCGTGTGGAAGCGGGTGTGTCCGCGTATTTTAGAAAAATGGAAAAAGAGCAATATCGGTCGGTGATTCGATTCTTGTTTTTGGAAGGGAAATCGCTCAGCGAAATCAAAGAGCGCTTGGATGCTGTGTACGGTGACTCTTCTCCTTCGATGGGGACCGTCAAAAATTGGTTTAACGAGTTTCAACGTGGTCGCACGTCGGTTTTTGATGAGCCACGTCCAGGTGCCCCGAAAACGGCTACCACGGAGGATAACGTGAAAAAAATTCACGATCTCGTATTGGCAGACCGACGATTGAAGGTGCGCGAGATAGCTGAGACAGTAGGCATCTCAAAAGACCGCGTGGGTCATATCCTGCATGAAATATTGGGCATGAGAAAGCTGTCGGCGCGATGGGTGCCGCGTTTGCTTACTCCGGACAACAAGCGCAACCGTGAGACCACTTCAGAGCAGTGTTTGATGCTGTTTAGGCGCAATCCGAAGGAGTTTCTGCGTCGTTTCGTGACCGTCGATGAAACATGGATCCACTGGTACACACCAGAGACCAAGGAACAGTCGAAACAGTGGACTTCACCCGGCGAACGTGCTCTGAAGAAGGCGAAGACTGTCCTATCGGCCGGAAAGGTAATGGCCACCGTTTTTTGGGATTCAAAAGGTGTGATCTACATCGACTACCTGGACAAGGGCAAACCGATCACAGGGCTCTACTATGCCGGATTATTGGGCCGATTCGACGCCGAATTGCAAGAAAAACGGCCCCATTTGGCGAAGAAAGAAGTGCTCTTCCACCATGACAACGCACCGGCTCACACCTCCGCCATCGCCAAAGCCAAATTGGTCGAATTAGGCTACGAACTGCTGCCCCATCCACCGTATTCTCCAGATTTGGCCCCGTGCGACTTCTTTTTGTTTCCAAACTTGAAAAAGTGACTTGCCGGGCAGAAATTTGAGTCGAATAAGGAGGTTATCGCCGCCACGGAGGCCTACTTTGCAGACCTCCAGAAAACGTATTTTTCAGACGGGTTAAAGAAGTTGGAGCATCGCTGGGTCAAGTGTATCGATCTGAAAGGAGATTATGTAGAAAAATAAATCGCCACTTTTCCAAAATTTTTCTTTTTCTTTTGTAGGCTAAGTACTTATCGGACCGCCCTCGTATACACGGATCTTACCAACGATGGCAAACAAATAATCCTAATATGGGTCCCCTCCCACCAAAGGGTAATGAAAAAGCTGACACTGCAGCCAAAGAAGCGGCATCCCACACACCCAATGAAGTGGAGGGACGAATGCCATACCAAGACCTCGTCACTTCGTTGAAATACGCTGAAAAATAAGAATGAAACATCATATGGACCACCTTCAAAAAAACAAAAACACACGATGCAGTACAGGATTTCTACCAGCCAATGCCTTCCGACATGGCCAGAAGCGAAAGAATAATTATGGCACGACTGCGCACAGGCCACTGCAGACTGATGCACGAGTATCTGATCAAGAAGACGGACCCACCATCCTGCAACGTATGCGGCCAACCACGTGCTGTATGAATGCAAGAGATTCCAGACCTCAAGACAAAACTACAAAATAGAACAACCAACAGTCTTGACGGCTCCAGAATGCACCGATGCTACCCTGAAATATCTAAAAGAAACTAACATGTACAAAGAAATCTAACCACCCCTAAAAGAGAACGCTAGAACTAAACACCGCTAATGACCGTAAGGTCGATGCGACGTTAAAAGCTAATATAAAAACAAATATTTTGTTTATGAGTTGTACATAATATTTCGGTTTAGTGAACTGTGATGCAAAGTATGATAATCAAGAATAATACAAGTATAGGTTATAATGGATAATTTTGAATATAACATTAGTTAAATAAGTAAAATATGCTACACTTATAAGGTAAGCAGATACTTTTGTGAGTAACTGTTTCTTCATGAAATTTGATACATTTTTTATAAATTGTCTGCCTCTGTTGAAACGATTTCGGTATTGCACGGCCAAATTTCTATGTCCTGCGGGGTCATTACTTTGCATTGTACTGAAGCGACGGGCGCACAAGTTCATGATCCGTCTCTTTCCGTTTCAGGCCGTTGCTGAAACAAATAAAGAACTCTGCTGAGTCTCATATTGTACTGGATTGCTCTACGGAGAGGATTTACGACGTGTTGAAGCAGGCGCAGCAAATAGGAATGATGAGCGACTACCACAGCTACCTCATCACCTCATTGGTGAGTCTTTTCATTAAATGAAAATGCAATTAACGATCCATTTCTCACGTCCCGTCTTCGTTCCAAGCCGTCCTTACTTGTCGAATCGGCTGGCAATTAAAGCTGTCGTGTCCGACTCGATTGACGTGTGCATAAATTAATTTTCACGAGGTTGTCGCATTTTCTCGATCTTTCTTGGACATTTTTCCGAGTGCTCACCATCGGAATCGACGAGCATTCCTGGCCGTGGAGTCGGGATAAATTATCAATAAGAACGCGAGGAAGATTCGATAACCGTGCGAACGAAGCTCTGCCCGTCGACGAGATTGGCTGCCGCTGTCGTTCGTCTCTGGCCTCCGTCGTTCGAATCAACGTTAACGAGGGAAACGTGAGGCTCCCGGTTGTCTGGTCTCAACTTTAATGGAACTTTTAGCGAGCATGGTGCCGGTTTTCGCTAACGTCGACGAAGGCACTCGTCTAACGCGTTGAACTCGCCCGCGTTTTATTAAACTCGAATTACGCGGCTTGTTCGTTCCAACGATGCCCGGTGGAGAGAATACGGGATTGCAGGGCAAAACATTCATTCTCGAGTACGCTCCCCCGTGAAATTGTTTTCCCGTGCTGAGAAATGATCTTACGGCATTCACAGGAAATAATAATAAACTATCAAGGAAAAATAAACTCCTGTTTTGTTCGCGTTGCTCGGACGATGAATGATACAAATATTGCTTGGTCCCTTGGACCGTTGGAGAAATCTAAAGTAATTTTGGAAGGCATGCAGAATTTAGCAAAACCTGATGTGTTTCGTAGTAGCAAGGAATAGAATTGTCCAACAGTTATTCGCTGTTCTTGGTGAAAGTTTGCGTGCAGTGAAGTCGTCGAATATTTCTGTTGGGTATTTTTTAGCGATGGTGATGTTTTACTATTAGCTTTGTTAACTCCGTAATTGTTCGAGGAGTTAGATTTTGTAGTAAATCAATTTATTTGATTTACAATCGCAGTAAATTCTTAAAATTAATAACAAGAAATATTTATTGCTTTGATCACCTGGGTGATCTAGCAAAGTCCGAGTTCTAAACAGGCGTCCAAATGCCTTGACTAATTGTAAGATGTTCTGAACAGGCGTCCAAATGCCTTCACTGAGATGTTCTAAACAGGCGTCCAAATGCCTTCAGAGACTAAGATTGGTCTGAATTGGCGTCCAAATGCCGTCCTCGAGGAAGACTTCATATCTCCCGCTTAGTGCCTCCTTGGAGGCGTCGATGTTCGGATTGGGACTTGTCCTGCCCAATCCGGAATTTGTTTAATTTTTGGATTGTGCAACGCCCACAACCTGGTTTGTTTCATCTTGCAAATCAAGGTCTGCAGGACGTTGCGCAATCCCTGGGTTAATTTATTACCCTAATTCTTTGTCCTATTGACTGTCCTAAGTCCTGATGGCAAGCACGTGAGGGTCTGCGATACATCAATTGCCGTTGAGGATGGTCTAACCGGGGACCGTTTCCAGAGAAATCTGAAACCGGCATCCGGCCAGACCTAGTCCTTTAGAAATTGCATGCTGTCCGTGAAAAATTGTGACTTCCTCAAAAACGGCACTGTTCATTGTCGAGTGCAGCGGAAACCCTTCACGTGGCGGCAACAAGCTTTTTGCTTGCTTGAACACACCGTTCTGAAGTCCACTCTAGGATTGTATGATATGGAGAATTTGTTTAATAACTTTCCCTTATATGAGCCGTTTATTTTGAAAGTGGCCTAAGTCCATTTATCTTCAAATCGAGATATTTAAGGGTTTGCGTTTCAATGAATTTAAAAATATACATGTGGGTTCAGTGCGTGTCTAGAATGATTCGAGAGAGAGGAGAGAGAATCATAGGGCCGTGCGTAAAGGATAAGCTCTCGGGCGCGGCTGTGTCGTTTCCGTGTGCCTTCGTTCCGCGAGCGTTCGGCGGCAGCGTTTAATGTCTGGCGGCGGGACTAAAAAGGACTCGCGCGGACCCAGGTGGCCCGAGCGATACCGTGGCGTCGCAATAACTAACGAGTTGACGAGGTCGAGAAACGTTCGGCATAAGTCAGTTCTCGTCGAGACGTGGAGAAGCGTAGTTCAAGGCATTTCTGTATTTCTGTAATTCTGTAATCGTTTATTTCGTTATTGTTAAATATATTCATTCTTCAAAATATCAACGTGTTTTGTCATTCCATGGTCCGTATGATCCTACATACATATATGATACTAATGAGTCATACTGCTTAAGTGTATCTAAGGGTGTTAAATTTATAGTTCCTATTAAAATAGTGGCAATTATTAAGCGAATAATACGCGTTTTCTTATCAAGAATGGAGTTAGGCCACTTTCAAAATTAACAACCAGATTCATTATAAAATTTGAAGGTGCCCAAGTCCATTCAACATAATTTAAGATGCTTCAAATTGAAAAAAAACAATGCTGAATTTATTTTACATATCTTTAAAACACTTCGGAAACATAATTTATGCGATTCAAAACATTTTTTTACTACATAACGTACGAAATTACAAACATAAATTTATTACAAAACAATTTCCTACTCGTCTACATTTTGTGCGTGTGAAAGGGATTTGAAGAGATCATGATGTTCCGGTGGTATATATCGCAATAGGTCAGTTATGTCCTTGAATTTTGCTGTTGTAATTTGTCTGATATTTTTCTACAGTGGTGTCGATACAATATTTTCGAACTTTCTTGGTCTACTCCGACGTGGTAATAAATTCAGGACTTTAAAATTTTCATTCTCATTCATTGATGTCTTATAGAAAATTTTATACCGTTCATTTCCGACAAAACGCATCCAACATATTTTTAACCAGTTTATTGATTCTCCATCAGAATTCTTTACCCTTTTAAAAATTGCGTCTTCTAATAATTTTGTTGATACAAAATCTTCTTGTCTCATTTCATTTATAATAAAATTATTACCTTTCCGACACTTTTTAGTAATCCTGTAATAATCTCGGGGAACGAACAGTAAATTATTTTTTTTTAACGACATTTCTACCACGCCAAAATCTCTATCATTTGGTAAAAACGAATGTCCTGATATTAAAAGTTTGTGATCTATGATTTCCACATTATTTTCCAAAGTTTGGACAATTTTAGTTACTATTTCTTCTTCGCTATCTGAACTAAATAGTCTTGTTCCGTTCTTCTCCATGGATGAAATAATTTCTAAAATTTAATATTAAATTTTAAGTTTTATATTAATTAAACGTACTGGTTATTCAACTAACGCAATTGTCCAAAAACTGAGGTTAACTTGTAAATACTAATTAATTAAAGTTACCTTCATCACTGCTTTCTGACATTATCAATAGTAAATATCTTGATTTAAGTATAAATGGAGTTAGGCCACTTGAAAATAAACGGCTCATATGTTCTCTGGGTAGGAAGCACAACACCACATGAAATTATCTTTGTTTTATTAAAATACAAAATACGAGAAGACAAAAGAAACAAACTCTGCTGTAACTGTAATCGGAAACGAACGCGGCACACATCGTTCGCCACGCCATCCCGCGGATACATTTCCAACATTTACTAGCAATCTGATGAAGCGAACGACTCGCAAACAAGTCTCACGATAGAAAAAAGCGTCAGTAAATATTTACAGAAACTTACAGTCAGTCACAAAAATATTCGGACATCGATGGAAGTTGATTTTAATACTCTGTATTTACAAAATATATATAATGGGTAAAATAAAAAGTTTATTTTACGTTACGACTAAAATTATTTATAAATGATTAATATTTCACATGTTGACATGCTAGAAGTAATTTTTTTTAGATAATCTCTACTAATACGCCGCCATTCTTTTTTAAGATGTGATTTCAATTTTTCTTTTGGAGTTGTAACAGTTTTTTGAATCTATCGATTCGGTTCGTCCCAAAAATTCCCGATAGAATTCATGTTGAGAGATTTTGGAGGCAGATGTTTAATATTGGCACAATTGTATAATAAAAATTCGTGTATAATACGAAACTTAGGTTTCGGATCGTCATCCTGATAAAATTTAAATTTTTGCCTGATATTAATTACCCTCCTTTTTAAATTATTCTTGAAAATGCTTGAATACATATTTTTATCGAGAGTGCTATCGATAAAAATCAAGTCGCAATATTTTATTGTTCGCTGTCAGTGTTTTAGATTCAGCTCTTCTTTTCGTTTCCTTCACACACTTATTCGTCCAAAGTAAAGATCACATTATTCCGTCATTCATTTTTTTTTCTTATATATTTCGTTGTGGAATGAAAGGACCCCGCACAGATCTTATGGAAAATGGCCCCCGGTTAAATTAGCTGAACTTTTGATATGATGTAGTTCGTGATGTCTTGATGAAAAGTTCCAATGGGCCCAAGCTTGTAAATTGAACAGTTTCCGAAATACGGGGGATCAAATGTCAATAATAGTGCACCTTATTCTAGACTACCACGTTTGAGCATATTTGAGTGTAAAAAGCACTGTTGTACACTGTCCATTTATTTAACCCCTTGAAACTCAATAGTAATACTGTGGACCCTTAAATATTACCCCTTGACCCTCTGACCCTCTGACTCCCATTCAGGAGGCAAAATAAAAAAACGCCGAAAGGTAAAAAATGGTTCTCTTTTTCAATGTACAAACATGAAGCACCGCCGACATTAGCATTACCCAGTGTGCACCACGAAGAGATTGCTCGATTGGATTTTGCACACCATGTGACCCTGAAAAGGGCCGTTTTTATAGTTGTCTCTATTCGGCCATAAGAATTTCAACATTCATATTGTCTTGATGACCTCTATTAGAGGCATCTCTGGTCGTATTTAGAAGATTGCCATCCGAATATTTGACATGCCTTTGATGACGAGCAAATCCTAAAAACCTTAAAACACTTGCAATATGTGCGCATGTACCCAATATTTTGGCACCAGATTGATAGGTGCAGTAGTAACCATTTATTACTTCCTCTTCTAGTTCCAGTTCATTTTCGGGAATGTGAGAAATAAGA